GCGTCGGCGGCAGAGGCGTTGCCTGCATCACGTGGCCTGGCTCGTTGCATCGGCTGCTCTATAGCATCGCAGCATCGGGGATACGCTTCATCAGCAGCCGCTAAAACCCCACAACCGCAACATACAACCAACGACGCCGGACCCAGCCGTCTGGGAGCTCAGCACTCGGGCCAGGTCAACTCTGCTGCTCGACGCCAGACCTCGACCGGCAAGCAGCAACGACGGTCCTCGCTGCTGCGTATGGACCCGTCGCATCCCATCATCCCCTCACTCACACCATCATCATCTACAAATGGGAAGGAGCGCGAGGCACAGCTGTCCGCAGCTCGAGCCAAGGGTCTCAGCCAGCTGCATGCCGCTTTGCAAGCCGGCGCCGTCGACCAAGTCTGGTCGGCATACACAGAACTGCGCAACAGACAAATAGAGCGCGATCCCTACACCTTCACCGCCGAGACCGCAGTGCTGGACGGAATCATCACACCGTGGGAGTGCCACCGAATGATCGGGATACTGGCCAACGAAGCCACCAAAACCAAGGCTGGCATCAACCGGCTGCTGCGCGTCTTGGCGGACCTGCGCGGACAGCAACGGCGCTTGCTTGCGCGGATCGAGCGTGCGTCGGGGACCAGGCACGCCTCTCGCAGAAATGTGCTGAGACAGGAGCTCCAGGCATGGGACGAGGTGTTGACGCCGTCACTGCTCCACACCACCCTCGTGCACATCGGCAAGAGTCTACGCAGTGTTGGCCTGGACGAGATCGACGAGGTGCTGGACCAGCTGCTCACCTACGAGGCAAACGAGCAGTCCCGGTCTCAAACGACTTTCCAGCAGGATCAGAGGCTGCCATCGCCAAATCCATCCAAAGCATCATCAAAAGCGAAAGCTGCCTCGCAAGACGGTCTGGCGGCGCTGCGAGACCGCGTGCTCTCTCCGCTGGCGCGCTCTGCGGTGAAGAAAAGGCTCGAGTCGCGACGCCCGCCAGTCAACTCTCCCGATCTGGCGACGTACAATACGCTGCTCGACATTATCACGCGGACGGTGCGTCGGAGCTCACCTATCGGCCAATCGACCTCAGCTCAAGGGAACGATCAAGACGACGAGGGGGACAGCGTAGCCAAGCTGACGCAGGAGGAGCGGGGATCGCATTCGGCGCAGCTCGATGCATCGCTCGCATCCAAGCTGCAGCGTTTCGGACTGGATCCCGAGGCGGCGCCGGTGCAGCTCGACTCGCGTGAAAGAGCCGATCGTCTGTTCCACTCGACGCTCGAGCGTATGCAGCGCACGAGCGGTCTGGAACCCGACGCGATCACGTACAATATTATGATCTCGATGTACAGCCTGTTGGATCGCTGGGACGCCGTCAGGCGCATACTGCGCACGCTGGCCGACGAGGACATGCTCAACATCGACTGCGTCAACAACGCGTTGCACCACTGGCAGGTGCGCGGTCCGCTCTCGTCGAGTCGGGCTAGCGACAGAGAAGCGGGCGACAACGGGGCGATCGAGAGCGCGCTCCAAGTGTACGGTCAGCTGCGTCAGAATCTGGTGCAAGCCGAGCTGGGCTCCCACCACTCGACCATCGCATACGGCGATGCCGACATTCATCCACGGAGCAAGTCTACCGAACGTAGCGAAGCATTCGATGCGAGCGGCGAAGCCGGGCCTTTGAGCTGGCCAGAAGAGAACGAGGGGTCGGGGGATGCCCACCGAAGCCATTCGGTGCGTACGCCTGCGAATGAAGCGGTGGATGCAGTGCTGGGGATGCCGAGCGTGCCGCACAATGTGCTGCCGGACGAGGTGACCTATGCGATGATGATCAACAGCCTCGCCCGCAGTGGTCGCTTTGCGGATGCATTCGGCGTGTTCAAGGACCTGGTCAGCACGCCCACTCGAACGCAATCTCGCAGCAACGACGACAGGGACGAGGAGGCATCGTACGCAAGCAAGGCGGCGCTAGTCGAGGAGAAAAAGATGCAGCCGACACTGGCCATCTTTGTAAGCTTTTTCCGTGGGTTTGCCAAGTACGGACGACCGAGTCAGGCCATCCACTATGACGCGGAGCATCCGGAGCGGACCACGTGGGAGCCCGTTCCGTCTTCAGAGGACGGCGGGGAAGTTGCCACGACTCGGACGACGCCAACGCAGCAGCAGCTGGAGCTGTGGAGGATCGAGACGTTCCAGCAGATCTTTGATGCCTTCCTAGGCTTTGAGCCCGAGATGGATCCCATCTTGGCCGATCGAGGCGGGGGGCGGGTGCGACGGGACGACGAGTCGGCGAGCCGGCCTATTTCGACCCCCTACGGCTGGGTGTCGCTGGCGGAGAAGCGCAGGCTGGACGCGGCACGCCAGGCGCCCTCGCCCAACCAGCTCTTCTGGATCCTCACCGCCATTCGCAGGGTGAGCGGCGACCACGCGCGCTGGAGCTTGGCCATGTGGAGCCAGGTGGTGACCAAATTCGAGGGTGCAGTCCCAAGCGAGGCGGCATGGAAGGGCTTCCGGCTGGACAACCGACTTACGCGCGTAGTCGAGCACCTCCAGACTCGCCTGCAAGAGGAACACGACGAGCACGACGAACATCATCCTGCCTACGATCGATAAAGTGCTTCACTCAGCCCGCGTCCAGCAGACACAAATGACAGCTGTTGCCAAGCTTAGAAACCAAAAGCCAGACGCATGGCTGACGATGATGGCGCCATGAGCGGCAGTCCACAGCGCCTCGGAAACAGCTTAAACCGTTTAAAGCTCGGAGAGGTTGAGAGACACGGCGAACGCGAACCGCGAGCGAGCGCGGCAGGGGCCCACGGAAGCGCAACACCGAACAAGCAGCAGGCGCGCCGTGGAAGGTTGCCAGCTTGCTCCCGGGCATAAGATGACGCACCGATGCGGTCGGAGTTGCTGGTAGGGGGGCAGGCATGCCAGTGCGAGGCAAGCGACGCAAGCGAGGTGGGGGGACCGGCTGAGGCGAGCAGGCGAAGGGTTCATCCGCTGCTCGGAAATCCACTTCCGGACAGCGGCGGTGCCTCTGTATCGAACCATCCTTTTCTGTGGATTTTTTTGGAATTTCTCCGAACGACTCGTCTGGTGCCTGCCCGCGCAGTCCATTCCGTGCAGTCACAGTCATGCAGCCGGGAAGAATTGGCCGAGCAAACGTTGGCGGGCGCTTCTTTTGGCCGCTCGTGCGACCCCAAGCGCTGGCCTGCTTGGCATGCAAACTACAACAATGACGCCGCTGTGCACTGGGGCGAGTTGCCAAGTTGTGCGGCATTGTCGCTCACAGCGCCCCCCCTCCCTCTCGCAGACAGACCTGCTGTTGTGATTGACAGCCTCGCCTCGCCTCGCCGCCCCCACCCAACGCGCATCCCGGCCCCCACATGGCAAGCTGTGCCCGCCAAGCCCAAACGCCTTCGTCACCACTGCCATGCCGGCGTCCCAACTGAACCCCTGGAAATCCACTTCCGTCTGCCAACCTTGCTCCGCGGGGAACCTCCAGACGAGCACCTCCCTGGGCCCCCCTTGTTCGGAAGCCTCTCCCGTCGTTTCGTCCGACCGAAGATCCGGCCCCTTCATTCCAGTTTGGCACGTCAGCTTCTGCGCCGCTCCTCGGCCCGCCCCAAATCTGTACCAAGCGCGAGATGATGCAAACCGCCAATGCAAGATATAAAGAAGAGCAGCGCCTCCTCCTTCCCTGCTCCTCTTCTACGCATTCAATTCTTCCTACGACTCCTCACTCTGCTACAAGTAGCTTGCTGCTCTGCCCTCGCCTAGCCGGCTATCGGTGTCTGCACCTCGCTCCGCGAGAGCCACCCTTCCACCATGAGCAGCCGATCCGTATCCACCGGCGCTTCCACGCCCCTCGAGGCGCAGGGCGCTACCTCGCCTACCGCCCACAGCGCCGTCGACATGCCTGCCGACGACGAACGCGGTGTCAACGTCGAGCGTGCCAAGTCCGAGTTTGCCATGCTCGAGACCTCGCTCAGCAGACAGTCCCACACCTACGGTCGCCAGCAGACCGAGCAGCCCAAGGACGTCGAGAGCGACGCTGCCAACGCCGACGACGACGAAGACTTTGATCTGGTGCAGTACCTCCGCTCCACCCAGTCCGAGAACTCCAAAGCCGGCATCAAGAGCAAGCACGTCGGCGTCTCGTGGACCAACTTCGAGGTGCTCGGCAACGACTCGATGGCCCTCAACATCCGCACCTTCCCGGACGCCGTCACCGGCACCTTCCTCGGCCCCATCTTCAAGATCATGGCCGCCCTCAACAAGAACCGCGGCCGCAAGCTCCTCCAGAACTTCAACGGCTTCGCCAAGCCCGGCGAGATGGTGCTCGTCGTCGGACGCCCCGGCTCGGGCTGCTCAACCTTCCTCAAGACCATCGCCAACCAGCGCGGCGGCTACATCGCCGTCAACGGCGACGTCAGCTACGGCGGCATCAGCGCCCACGAGTTCGGCAAGAAGTACAAGAGCGAAGCCGTCTACAACGAGGAGGACGACTTCCACTTTGCCACGCTCACCGTCCAGCAGACGCTCGAGTTCGCTCTCAACCTCAAGAGCCCCGGCAAGCGTCTCCCGCACCAGACCGTCAAGTCGCTCAACAAGGAGGTGCTCGACACCTTCCTCAAGATGCTCGGCATCCCGCACACCGCAAACACCCTCGTCGGATCCGCCACCGTTCGTGGCGTGTCGGGTGGCGAGCGCAAGCGTGTCAGTATCGCCGAGTGCATGGCCTCGCGTGCCGCCGTGCTCAGCTGGGACAACGCCACGCGCGGTCTCGACGCCTCGACGGCGCTCGACTACGCCAAGTGCATGCGCGTCTTCACCGACATTGTCGGCCTCACCACCTTCGTCACGCTCTACCAGCCCGGCGAGGGTATCTGGGAGCAGTTCGACAAGGTCATGGTCATCGACCAGGGCCGCTGCGTCTACTTTGGCCCGCGCGACAAGGCGCGCGCCTACTTCCTCGACCTCGGCTTCAAGGACTACCCGCGCCAGACCTCGGCCGACTTCCTCTCGGGATGCACCGACCCCAACCTCGACCGCTTCCCCGAGGGTAAGACCGCCGACGACGTTCCTTCGACGCCCGAGCGTCTCGAGCAGGCCTTCCAGAACTCGCAGATCTACCGCGACATGATGCAGCAGAAGCAGGAGTACGACGCACAGCTTGAGGCTGACAACAACGCAGAAAAGGAGTTCCGAGAGGCCGTGCTGGAAGACAAGCACCGCGGCGTGCGCCCCAAGAGCGTCTACACCGTCAGCTTCGCCCGCCAGGTCCAGGTGCTCACCAAGCGTCAGATGCAGATGATCCTCGGTAACCGCCTCGACATCTTTGTCTCGTTTGCCACCACCATCGCCATCGCCCTCATCGTGGGTGGTGTCTTCCTCAACCTCCCCGAGACGGCCGCAGGCGCCTTCACTCGCGGCGGTGTCCTCTTCATCGGTCTCCTCTTCAACGCGCTCACCGCCTTCAACGAGCTTCCCACCCAGATGGGCGGCCGCCCGGTGCTGTACAAGCAGATGAACTACGCCTTCTACCGCCCCTCGGCTCTCAGCCTGGCGCAACTCTTCGCCGACATCCCGCTGTCGATCTCCAAGATCATCCTCTTCTCCATCATCCTCTACTTTATGGCCGGACTCGAGCGCACGGCAGGCGCCTTCTTCACGTTCTTCATCTTCGTTTACACCGGCTACCTCGCCATGTCGGCGCTCTTCCGACTGTTCGGCACCGTCTGCAAGTCGTACGACACGGCAGCGCGTCTGGCCGCCGTCATCATCTCGGCGCTCGTCGTGTTCGCCGGCTACGTGATCCCGCGCAACGCCATGTACCGCTGGCTCTTCTGGATCTCGTACATCAACCCG